TGAGATCTGTATTTTAAAAAGGTCTAAGGCTTGGTTCAGTGTAATTCCAAGCAGCTGGGGAGGCTTAGGCAGAAGGATCACAAGTTTAAAGCTAGCCTCAGCAATTTAGTGAGGCCCTAAGAAACTTAGAAACAGCCTGTATCAAAATACAAAATAAAAAGAGTTAGGGATGTGACTCAGTGATTAAGTGCCCCTGAGTTCAGTCTCCAGTACCAATAAAAAGAAAAAGTCTAAACTGGGCACGGTGGCACATGCCTTTAATTCTAGCATCTTGGAAGGCTGAAGCAGGAGGGTTGCAAGTTCAAATCCTGCCTCAGCAACTGGAGAGGAGCTAAGAAACTCAATGAGACCTTGTTTATAAATAAAATACAAAATAAGGCTGGGAATATGGTTCTGTGATTGAGTACCCCTGAGTTCAACAGAGGGTAAAGCCCCTCCAAAAATAAAGAATAAGCCTATATGATCATTATGCTTTTAGAATTGCAAACAACAGTTTAAGAACCTCTTAAAAGAGTTTTAAAATGTGTATGAAGAAAGTAAATGATTTAATAATGTAATGTGTTCTATTTCTTAATATATTATCAAAGATCTTATGTTCCTTTGTCTCATCAGAAAGATCATCAATTCATTGCCTTTACTGCTGACCTTTTATTTTCTTAAAAGCAAAGAGAATAAAATTTTATTTTAGTCCATGTACTGGTGTAGCAAAGTGAGAAAATTTCTTTCATAGGTTTGATCTCATTATTCCGTACAACTCTTATGTTTTATGTATTTCTTTTTGTCTTTGGTTTTTTTTGGTGGAGGAGGAAGTAATAAGAGGATTCTGGAATACTGTACAAAGATCAAGGCTGTCAAGTCATACACAACTAGGTTGATATGACTTTGGGCATATATTTCTTAATGAAAATGGTTGTCTTTTAATCACTACTTAATTCATTGGCTGCCATCATGAAGTATGTGTAAATCAAACACTCAAAAATTCCTTGTTGGAGGCCAGCTATGGTGGCATACACCTATAATCCCAATGATTCTGGAGGCTGAGGCAGGGGGATTGAAAATTTGAAGCCAGTTTGTGCCACTTAGCAAGGCCCTGTATCAAAATTTTAAAAATACCCAACAGGTCTGGGAATATATGTGGCCCGGTGGTAAAATGCTCCTGGGTTCAATATTTTTGGGGGGTTATTGAAAATAAGTGATTTGTAAAGAAATATTTTAAACTTCATATTTCTTTTCTATTCTGTGAAATGGTAATAATACTTTCTAAGCTTGCAGCAATACACTAAACAATGTACACACAATGGTGAAAAGAGACAACATCTGATACACAGTAAGTCCTAAATCAGTGGTATCTCTAATTATGTGTTTCAAAAATACTCAGATACATAACAAAGTTTATTTTTATACCCCCCAAAATTATGACTACATTAAACACCAAGACTGTCAAGAATATTATTTTTTGCCATTACATTAATCACATAAAAATAATTCAAGTATTTTTATATCCATTGAAAATATAATCTATTAATAAATAACTATGACAGAATCTTAGACTAACATTTTTAAAGATTAAAGTAATTAAATTTGAAGTAGTTTTGATGTATATAAGTTGAAAATCCAAAGTCAGTGAGAAAAAAAATTGATTCCAGGAAGTACTTTAGCCCCTTTTCTTCTTCAAAGAGTAGGATTTTAGAAAGAAGTACTAATTGACATTCTATATGTGAATGTGAAATTGTCTGATAAGTTTTTTTATTCCTCTCAATAAATTGGTATATTTTCACCCAGACCCATCCATGAAGTTATTCCACCTGCCCATTGTTTATAACATTGTCATATTGTTTTAATTGAAATACTAGACTTAATGGAAACTAGATTGAAACTCCAATCAAGCATTGGGTTATCTCCTATCCCATCATTTCAACTGTCAGTATAATCTGTAAGTGCCCTTAGTATTATATTAAGAAAAGACAGGCATCTCAAAAGTCTCCGTAAGGATATTCGTTATCTGCTTATTATATAAAGTGCAATTTGTAACTAAGCTGTCCTGTGTCTCTTTCACCTACAGCACTTTCAGCCAGCCAACATTTCAAGACAATATCTTGACCTAAAACCCTTTGATTACCCAGTATGGGATGATGATTTTAACCTAATATCAGCACTAGCTCTCTACTGACTCCAATTCCGATAATAGCAATATTACTTCAGGGGGGAAAAAAAAAGGGCCCACCTAAGCCCTGCTGATTCTTGTACATTAGATCATTAGAATATGTTCACAAGTCTTAAGTGGAGGATAAAGCCAGAGATAGTCTTTTATTTTTTAATAAACTAAAGATACATCCAAATGTGCACATGCTGGCTTAAAGGAAGGCAATGATTTATTAATTATTCTTTTCATAGATGATTTTGAATACCAATTTAAGAATGGTGGTGGCTTCATCTATGTTCCCTTCATCAAGAGACCTGCTCCCAGAAAGTAAAATCTTTTTAAATTCTGAGTCCATAATTTTAAAGAAATAAAATGTTATTCTAGGAGAAAAGTTGGGTCTGGTGCCTTCTCTTGAACTGATCAATTTCGGATAAGGTAAGTTAATTGCAAACAAACATGATTGAGAGAAACTATGTAGAAGTAAGGGGAAAAGGAGAATTTCCTAGAGAAATGGAGGCGAGCAAATAGTCTTTTTGCTGTGTATCAAATCTCATGTAGTATCTCGTCTCCATACCCTCTCTTCCCACTTAAAATTGTCCCCATATCCATGTAGAATGGTAAAATAGCATATTGGAGGAAAGTGCTAGGCTTTTCAACCAGACCTCAACTTGACCCTGATTGTTAAACTTCCTTATTGATCAGGAACATAGTATCTGAGTCCTTAGTCATTCAGCTTTCTCTGCTGTGTATTAAATTGCAAGATCTAAAGACATCCTGATCAGTTTTCTTTTTTCTGGATAGGGATTTTTTAGTTGATTTTTAAAAATAAATGACAGCAGAATGTGTTACAATTCTTGTTACACATATAGAGCAAAATTTTATATCTCTGGTTATATATAATGTATGTTCACACCCATTCGTGTCTTCATACATGTACTTTGGATAATGATGTTCATCATATTCCACCATTCTTGCTAACCCCCTTCCCCCTCCCTTCCCTTGCCACCCCTCTGCCCTATCTAGAGTTCCTGTATTCCATGCTCCTACTCCCTACCCCACTATGAGACAGTTACCTTATATCAGAGAACACA